AATATCGAGAACCATGCTGAAGGCGACGATACTATTCAGTTTATGGTCTCGACAGATGGCAAACCACTGAATGGAAAGAACCACGGCGTCGGCTCGAGACTCAAGCAAGCTGGAGGGCATTTTAAAGAACAATCTCTTCAGCAGATTTCCCAAGACTTCACCACAATCAGTTTGCATCAAACAGGAGGCAAGAAGCCAGCTAGAAATGCTTCTTCGCCAGCAGCCCAACCAGAAACCGCAACGGAATTCCTAGGCACACCATTCAACGGAAGAGGCTTCACTCTTACACCGAAACCTGAAGTTAGATCGACTCCGTCTTCTCGCTCTACGACAGCCTGATTAACTTGGGGCACTGTTCTAGCGTCTAAATTTGGCTACTATCTTGTCAGGCGAGTCTGGCAGAGAAGGTTTAAGGCTTGACTTCAAATGAGCGTGTCCAACATGCTAAAACTTATTTTTATAGTGAATTTAATATGATACTAAGCGTGCTAGACGAGTAGCTATTGTGTGTATGATTCGACGTACTGTCTCAACTTCTCTGTCGTGAAATCATACGCTATCTTCAAAGCTGACCTGCCATACAATGAGCTACCGCGCATCCCAGGCAATTAGGCTCCTAAGCCTGCCATTATGCCATGTCCATAAAATTTCCTCAAGAACAAGCTCAATATCTTAAATACATTCCTGCAATGTCTTGTCCCTCTGCAAAAGCTCACGAGACATTGATTCTAGGCTCTTAGCTATCCTAGATCGCAATGACCAGCCTTGCATCCCTCGCATAGGTCCCTCTCATGTTCACCAGTAAACTCTCCCGAGTAATGAGGTGGGTCCAGCTTTATTCCACTCCATTTCTTGATGCGATATGCGACCCGATCCGCGTATGATTTCTCATCTAGGAAGGGTCGACTGGTGCTATTACATGCTTTGCAATGCTGGTTGTAGACTCTGGCATTGTATCGCTTATTGTCGTACATTCGAATCGTAATAGCAACCTTCTTGCTCGACCAGCCATTGGTTGCACAGTTGCGGTTATTACAAACGAACCTGCCCATTACGTTTGTGTCGTATGATTTGATGCATGTGCTATCATCGTCGACATTGTGAAATCGGAAGCGGAGGTTGTCCTCGGAAAGTAGGGGCGCTACTTTTCTATGCAACTGGGGGTACATAGACCACCTCCAGGAATTAATACGCGGCATGATACAATAGTAGATCAACAGCAAGGGAAGATGAAGAGAGCATAAAGCAGACGTGAAGGCGGGTATGTCAGCTTCAAACATAAGTGTATTACTGCCTTTACGCTGCGATTGTTGAAGCCCACGATGATGCGGGAGGCCCACCAACGCCACTCTTCGTACCCGAACACCAACAAGCAGGGTAAACCTCGATGCCTGACCAAGAGCTGCTTCTCACCCCGAAATTATGAGCTTAAGCTGAAAGTGGTCAACTTATACATCCTCTGCGCTGATTTGAGCGATTCTGCTAATATACGAATGGGAGGGGAAAAAAGCTCTGGGTCGATAGATATTTTAATAAAATACATATTACTCTATATATGCGCCACGGTGAATATGATACGGCTCTCTCTCCCCGCGCAATTAGCTAGGACTAGCATCAACCCCACAAAGCCATCGATACGACTAACGTCATAGCCAACGATACAGCCACATTCTGTCAGTGTAGCATGTCCCTCGCCTTTTCCGAGTGGCCCCTGCATGACATGGTCGCCACTTATCGATACGATAGCGCCAACAGGCCCAAGGCCCCCGAGGGAGCCAAGAGCACTGATGAGGATACATCCATGGCGATGCTGTCAAGGACGGCCGGGGGTATGTTAGCACCCACCATCAATTTAACTGCATACACTAAAGGAGTCCACACATTGCAAGGACGGCAACATTTGAACCTCGTTCTCCATTCACATCACCAATGTACCCAAGCTTGCCGTCTCCCACAGAAGCGAATGTGACTGGGCTCTCTCCAGGAGCCCTAGCGTTTGATGGAAAGAAAATAGACGACTCAATAACCGACTCTTCATCTGTTATATACCAGGCATCGTCGAGGGCAACGTTTTTGACAAATTGAGCCTTTTGACTGTATCGTGGAAGCAGCTTTGCAACTAAACCACTCTCCACCGCGGCGTGATTTAGCACGACTGTCGTTCTGTGGTATGCGCCGACCTCCCAGCTTAGGCCGGCTTGAGCGAAGAATGGTTTAATACTCAGTGGCTTAACAAAAGACGAAAAATTGCCCATAACCACTGCCCTTCCGCCCTTGCGGACATATCGAAGGACTGCCCTCCAAAGGTGGTGGTTTCGATTGTCGCTGAGTGACTCGTCGGTTATAAGAACAGCCGTCGGGCTTGGCTGCTCTGAAAGTAGACGTGCTGCCGAATCTGCGTCCTTGGCTTGCAAAAAATTCGCCTTGGACTGGATTTCGGTAAGGAGTGGTTCATAGAGTTGATCAAAATATGGCTGGTGGTTGAGGGAGATGGAGAGGAGGTATGGTTTTCTTGCTGTGTCTGCCATAGTGTGTAATTGTGGACGACACCTTATAAATCTTAAGACGAAATTCAAGTGAAGGCTGTCCGAGAAAGGGGCTGAAAAGGAGCGAGCGCGATTGCTACAGAGGACCGCGACAGCGGTTTAAGAAGTTGGAGATGTACTTTAAAGGATCCTCCACAAGGACTTGTCGGTGGAGGGTGGAATTGAGGGAGAGCGTCTTTTCGGGTATGAAGGGCTACATTTTATTGAATTTGTAGAAGTAGCCCGATTTACGAGGCATGAGTAGCTACCCTGCGGGAGGCCGACCAAAGCCTGATTCGGTCAAGTTTGAGGCATGTGACTGAAGGGGCCTCAAATCCATTCCTGCAATACTTGACGCCTGAATGCCTTAGGCATCTGCATCGAAAAGGTTACTTTTCTCTTTACCGATGTTTAGCCCGGGATTTCCTTTCTAATGCGCATTCCTCCACGTAAACTTGAGCGGCTTCAGAGCAACCCCATCAGCAGCGGTTGGAAGCCACTGGCCTCAGCCTCAGCCACGAGCTGAGTGTCCCGTCTTCCATCTTGACTCCATCTTCTTACCACCGCACCCCCTTCCTCGATCCGCCAAAGCATAGCATAATTAAGTCGACGATCTCTATGAACCACTGAAATCGCACCAATAGCCCGTCGTCCCACTAGCCGCGACGATTTTCTCGAGACAATTATCTATACGTTCAAGGTGGAATATGATGCTATCTTTCCGGTTGACTGTGCCGAAACACGCAGTAGCATTAAACAATGGCATTTATCAGTGCCTACTTCCCCATAAGCCTAGCAGCATATTATAAATTTATTACTCTTGGAACTCGTGAATCTGAACGTGCTGGCGTGGTAGCGACTTCGTTCCCCACTTTACCGTTGAAGCCTCTCAAACCCCCAATTCGGCAATGCTATACAGTAGCCTCCCCAGTCCGTCCTCCCACCTTCACAAAAAGCCACCGGGTAATCTACGGCTTTAGTATCCACCAAAAATGATTGAAGATTGGATGTCGGTGAAATATCCGGGGGGGGGGGGTTTCAGCGTGGTAAAAAGGCACAGAATTTCGACCTCTGGTTATCATTCAAGTGTAGGTAGCACATGCCAAATAGAGAGCGCTAATCTACGAGCAAACTGTCGTTATAGACCCCATGAGTGCCGGTACCTATAGCGACGACCCTTTGGAGCAGGCAGGCAACCTCGCAGGCTGGCTTGTTGGGCTGGGCGACAACGATTGAGCGTCGTATCAAAGCAGCACCGTAGAGCAGTGCAAACACTCAGGTCGAAGGGAGATGATCATTGGCTTGATAAAGGCCAGCAGAATTGAGGTGAACTGAACTTGAGTATCGAGTGCGCGATCGTTCATATCTTTGATGAGTCATTCTGGTAGACGACTGGAAAGGTAGCCTTTGTCTTCCGGTGTCGCGGCCCATTCGTCGGTACCCTCGAGCCCACGCCGCGCGAAACGTTCCCCGGCAACATCATACTCATCTCTCAACGAGGACCATCCGCCTTTTACTTCAACGGTATCTTGACCAGACCGGGAGACAAACAGGAGATCGATGGGCCTGCCCGCATTGAGGTCGGTGCTGAAGAAGTGGTGTTTTTCTTGGCAACATTCACAATCCTCCGATGGTTATGAGTTTCCATGAGTTTCCATATACTTCCATGAATTTCGGCGCCGTCAAACCCGAGAGACCTTGATTTCATCTTCGGCTAGCATCGCAACGATATTTCGTTTTGCCGACATTAGCCGTAGGGTTGACATAGTTGACCTCAGGATGGTCTTGCAATATACTTAAGATGAATTCCAAATACATTAGATCATGGCCTCAAACTAGGGCGCCGCCGGTTTTCTGCTCTGAATCATACTTTAATCTTGAATAAGTAATAGCTGGCGAGTATATCGTCATGGATTTTTGGTAGGTAGGGAATAATACTAGTTCTTCATTGAGCCTGCCTCTTTACGGTCTCGCTTCATGGTGGCATTACAGTTTAGTATAACTGGCGTCATGGAAAGTAATCAATAATATAAGATCAGCATTCCCTCTCTAGATTTCATACTCTCGTGTAATGGGTGGCGTTAAGCGCTATCTTCATACATGCACAGTCAAAAGAATAGCCAAAAAGTAATTGAGTCTAGTGCTGACATTACTGATCGTAGCAATCCATGATGCCTCGACTTGAGGGCTCGTTGCGGAAGCTGAAGGTCTATAAATACGCAGTATCTTGCACTTCGTCATGTAGAGCTCATTCTATCTCTGTATCTTGGCAACTGAAGGCACCTTTATCACCTATAGCAGACAGAATGATTGATAAAAACCCAAACATCACTATCAGATCAAGAAGCTCGCTATATATTCACACGGACATAAATCAGTCAGGAGACGAACCTGATCGTGAGCAAGTATACGTAAGTAGGGTATGTAACGGACTCGATAGTGGAAAGTTAATGGGTGACTTCTAGGATCCTAGCGAATCATCGATAGATACTCTGAGAAAACTTATCCGTCTCCAGAATGCCGCTCTTTTGATACTCGAAAACTCTACGAAATTGCTAAGAGAGTCTGTTGTCCTGCTACAAGAGCAGATACGAGGAACTCGAACTAACTCATGGAGTTCAACTCAACAAGACGCTCTGCACAATGAAGACTCGGAGTTTACAAGTACCACTCAAACCAATTCAACACAGCGTATAGACTGTGCCTTGCTTAATCAAGTCAACGAACAGGCCTTCCCTACGCAGACATATGCCATGGAGAATATCAGCATTGGTGACAACAGTCAACAGGCAATAATCTTGGAAGGTAAAGGTTTAGTCAGGGCAAGAAATATAGCGATTGGGGACGGGTCTAGGCAGATTATTGGTAGTCTTTCTGGTGACACATTACAGAATATTGTTGGGAGTTGGAATAGGGATATATAGATAGCATGGTGGTATATAGACAATCAAACGCTTCATAGGCTTCTTTCTATCTCCTCTACCGGTAGCCCATATATGCATTCCACTTCATGACGCCTCTGCTACCACAAAAACTTGTCGTATTATGTGCTATCCTAAAAACTGGTCCAGGATGCAATGTACTACTTCATAACCTGGGCTGGCATATTGCGAGGTCCCAAAACTGGGCCCTGTTGTGTTGCAGCGGGTTTGACGATCAATTCCGTGGCCCAAGGGGTCTCGTGTTGGGTGCGACAAATTGGAACCTCATATCACCATTTACATAAGCAAGCGCCTGAAGTTTAGCTGCTTAAGTATAGCATAGCTCCCGAAACAGCATCCATGACTTGGAGGGCACAAAAGGTGCATCCCAGACGCGCCGTGAAGTAAGCGTGCATCCCTCTAGATCAAAGGCACACGTGTCAGACAGAGCACATGAACTGGGATGGAGAAGCGGGTCACTGGGTTGGTGCCTGATCTCCATACAGGCCAACGGACCAGATTAGCTCAAGAACCGCTGCGCTAAATATGGGGGCATGACTTTAGTGGATGGCGTTACAAGGACATGCCAAATTTATCCACAGGGGGCCTGTTTTAGTCCCCTAGAACTTGGCTCTTTTTGTAAGCCCAGTTCAAGGCCGTGCAAGGCAAAGTTGGGACCCGAATTAGCGGCTAGCCGAAGTCGTCGAATAATCATCGTCTTGGAAACTTCGCCAATAAAGTCTGCTCGACAAAGACGACGAATCCCAATGTAGGAAGACTCAATGGCTGGGATTTTCCGAGAATTTCGAGCAAACGCCTCTAGCGAATTATCGCTGACAGGGTTTGCTCCGAGCTTTCGGGTAATATTGTCCGACGAATGATCGCCAACAGGGTCTGTTCTAAACTTTCGCATAGCCCTTCTGAAGGAAATGCCACCAAAAAAGTTTATACGAAAATATCGACGAAACCCGGCTTAAGAATTTCGCTACCAAAACTGGCACTGACCAAGCAGCAGACAGTGCTCTGCAATAAGTTAGGGACGCAAGTTGAAGGCTGCCATAAGCACCGGCGCTATGGAATTACAAAGGTAACCAGTCAGAGAAGGCGACAAACTCACCAGGCGRCCAGRTTTCGTAGCRGGATATGCGGGAAAACCTGGTAGAATGCGACGTGTCAGCCATGCGAAGCCACATCGAATCACGTCGAGCCACGACCCAGATTCATGCACTGCCCTAGGCATCAGTTTGTAAATCACATATAAGAGTCCTCTCATGCTCACTATCATGTCAAAATGCTATAGAAAAGGGATCATCTTCCAAACTAGTATTTTACTACTTTTTGCTCTCATTCGAAATGCCTTCTACGATTTATATGCAAGATGTCGAACGCCAGGTCGACCCACAGGAGTCCAAAGACATGCCCGACTTGCGAGAACGTGCGGGGCAAGGCTGTTTCCTCTGCTTAGAGAGCCACAACCAAGGACAGTACGCTATTCTTGTACCATGCCGAAGATCGACAAAGGCCAGCCGCCTTATCGGATGTACTAGGGACTGGGACTGCACTAGCAATCCGAAACCAATATACGAGGCGACAATGCCTTGGGACARTGCTTGCGAATCTGATGACGAAATCTATCGGAGATTAATTGATACATGTTATCAGCATCTGGGTTGGTGGAAGAGATGGTTGCCTTACTTCGGAATCACCGAAGTGCTGGAGGTCAACGTAAGCTTCAAT